GTTTTTACCAAAGAATTGTAAAGATTTTCAAATAGAGCGAGGACTAAGGCAAAAGTATTTTTAATAAAATGGGTATTTTGAAAGAACGTTCATATTTCGGTTAAAAAAAATTGTTTGCAGCGAACATAATAATTTACTGCGATATTACCGAGTTTCTTTTCACTTCAAAATTCTAAGATGCTTGGGACTAATACGAATTTATGACAGAACGTTATCTGACGGATTAGCAATCCGGTTAGCCTGCATCTGAAGCAGTACAGTCTGCACAAAATACATTTAGGAGCTAGCTTTATCTTGAACAAAGCGAGTGGTTGCTTTGCCGCACATTTCTCTACCTGAATTAGCAACTGCCGAACGGCCGCGAAGAATATTTACCTACTTTTGAATTCTCAGCTAACAAAAGCAGAAATTCTAAAATGTTTTGAAAATTTGTCTCCTCTCGAAAACTTAATGGTGGTCCTGAAAAGGACCGATTGTTGAATGAAGTACAAGCTGTACTGTTTTTTTAACCGCCGAAACCGTACAGGGTGCGGCCTTGTCTCTTCAGGGCGTACACAACATCCATGGCTGTGACAGTCTTCCTCTTGGCGTGTTCGGTGTAGGTGACGGCATCGCGGATTACGTTCTCCAGGAACACCTTCAGAACACCACGTGTTTCCTCGTAAATGAGTCCAGAAATGCGCTTCACACCGCCACGACGAGCCAAACGGCGGATAGCTGGCTTCGTGATACCCTGGATGTTATCACGCAGCACTTTGCGATGACGTTTGGCGCCACCTTTTCCCAAGCCTTTGCCTCCTTTTCCGCGACCAGTCATTATTCACTCTTTTCTATATAAACACACTGCACGAAAGTCACTGACGAACTAATTTCAATTTTTCGGCGTGCCCCTATTTATACCAAAAACCCAAGAAACCCGAGCGAGTGCGAACAATATGTTCGCCTCGCTCTTGGCTCGCCAAATGAAATGGCGTCTGCTCCTCTCTCTTTCCAACCCTCCACTTTTGCTATATAAGTAGGTAGCGATCGCGCCGAACGTTTATTGTGTTTTTTAGACGTGAAGTGAACAGTAGTGAACATCCAAATCAATAATGGCTCGTACCAAGCAAACCGCTCGCAAATCGACTGGTGGCAAGGCGCCACGCAAACAACTGGCTACTAAGGCCGCTCGCAAGAGCGCCCCAGCCACCGGAGGCGTGAAGAAGCCACATCGCTATCGCCCCGGCACTGTGGCCCTGCGTGAGATCCGTCGCTACCAGAAGAGTACCGAACTGCTGATCCGCAAACTGCCTTTCCAGCGTCTAGTGCGTGAAATCGCTCAGGATTTTAAGACTGACTTGAGATTCCAGAGCTCGGCGGTGATGGCTCTTCAGGAAGCCAGCGAAGCCTATCTGGTCGGCCTCTTTGAAGATACCAACTTGTGTGCCATTCATGCCAAGCGTGTGACGATCATGCCCAAGGACATCCAGTTGGCCCGTCGCATTCGCGGCGAGCGGGCTTAAGTTGAGACTGCATCAACTGGCCACCATTGCGCTACCATATTTTATACAAATCGGTCCTTTTCAGGACCACAAAATACATTCAATGAGATATTTATTTTTATTTTACAAGCTTTTTTATTTTTAATTCATAAATATGTATTATGTTCGTTTTTTATTTCAGTTAATGATTCGTTGTGAAGGTGTGGTAGTTTCAAATGGCGTTACGATTGTATGTGATAAGCACGAACTATAATAAACATTCAAACGTCATTAAAAAATTAAAAACTTTTAAAATCACTCTAAAATTCTTTGTTTATTTAATGAGTCAATAAATATATTAAAACAGATCACATTTTTATTTCGGTCTGTACTTGGTGGGATTTTTACAAGGGGTACGGTTGTATGGGACAAACACGAACTATATTAAACATTCAAACGTCGTTAAAAAATTGAAAAACTGAAAAACACATTCGGAAAATAACTTTGCAACGTTTATAAATTATTTATTTATTAAACAAAGACAACAATTTGTTGAACGAAACCAAGTTTATATTTTTATTTCGGCTTGAATATAGTGTGATTTTTATAGGGAGCAAAGTTGTGTGGAACAGGCACAAACCACTCAAATGTTATAGAAAAATCAAAAAACTGTTTAAATCACTCTAAAAATAACTTAGCAACGATTTTGAATCCTATATTTATTTAATAAAACATCAAATGTATTAAAAAAGATAGATTTTGTGTTTTTTATTTCGGTTGGTAATTGGTGGGATTATACAAGGGGCAAGGTTATATGGGACAAGCACGAACTTTATTGCACTTTTAAACGTCATCAAAAAAATCGAAAAAATGTTAAACACTTGCTGAATATAGCTTCGCAACGTTAACGAATACGTAATTTAATAAATAAAATAAAAAAGAATAACAATATAATAAAATTAAAATTTTTTTTACATAATCTTCAATGTGACTTTAACTTGATTCATATATGAGGCACAAATAAGCCTCTTTTGGACAAACTACAAATAAAAACATCTGAAAAATGTAATCGACTAAAGCAAACAAATAATTTGCTTAAGAAAATCACAAATAACTATGAAATTTAAAAATATTTATATTTTTTTCATTCCGAAAACTATGGCTGCTTCTCCCTTGAAAGCCAACTTTTTAAGTAGCCTAGGCTCAACTTAAAACAAGTAATAAAATAACTTTTTTAATGAAAAGTAAGTATATTTTCAGTGTTTCTTAAAGAAAAAGTTTAAATTTCATTTTTAATTGACAATTGTACAAGTAATTAATAGATTTCTTATATTAAAATAGGTTTTAAAAAAAATTGCTCATGTTACAAATGTCAATGGTCAAGTTCATTCAGCTATTAAAGGTTGCCAAAACCAAATATTAAAATTTTAAAAATGCTAAGAACTTTATGGATTATTTAAGAATGTGAAAAAATAAATACTTTGTTTTTAATAAAGTTTTTAAACTCTAAATACAGGAAAATAAGTTTGCACTTCAAGTAAACATTTGCACAGTAAATGACTGGTGTCAGACCCATAGTTAAAGTGCTCTCCTCCTCGATTCTCATCCGAATGAAGGAGGTCGGCGGCAAGCGCGCGCGCCATTTTCTAAACAAAAAAGTGTTTTCGAGTGAACAAAGATGTCTGATTCTGCAGTTGCAACGTCCGCGTCCCCAGTGGCTGCCCCACCAGCGCCAGTTGAGAAAAAGGTGGCTGCCAAAAAGGCAACTGGATCTGCTGCCACAAAGGCAAAGAAGCCGACTGCACCACCATCGCACCCGCCAACTCAGCAAATGGTGGACGCTTCAATCAAGAACTTGAAGGAACGTGGCGGCTCTTCGCTTCTGGCAATTAAGAAATATATCACTGCCACATACAAATGCGATGCCCAAAAACTGGCTCCATTCATCAAGAAGTACTTGAAATCGGCCGTGGTCAATGGAAAGCTGATCCAAACAAAGGGAAAGGGTGCGTCTGGTTCATTTAAACTGTCAGCCTCGGCCAAGAAGGATCCCAAGCCAAAAGTTGCGTCTGTTGATAAAAAGGTCAAAAGCAAGAAGGTAGCCGTTAAGAAGACCGGTGTCACCGCCAAGAAAGCTGCCGGAGCTGCTGACAAGAAGCCCAAAGCTAAGAAGGCTGTGGCCACCAAAAAGACCGCCGAGAAAAAGAAAACCGAGAAGGCAAAAGCCAAGGATGCCAAGAAAACTGGAACCGTGAAGGCAAAACCAGCAGCAACAAAGGCCAAAACTACCGCAGCGAAACCGAAGGTGGCCAAAGCACCCAAGGCCAAACCAGCGGCGTCAGCTAAGCCCAAAAAGGTGATAAAGAAAGCAGCTGCTCCTGCTACCGCTAAGAAGCCGAAAGCAAAGACTACGGCTGCTAAGAAGTAAACTGGAAAAGTACAGTATCTGTACCAGTCCGCGCTCAAAATCGCAATTTTAGATTTTCAAATCTGAAATTTGTTTAAACAAGCCCTTTTCAGGGCTACAACATTCGTTAACAAGAGAAAAAAACTTTCAATTCAAAAACATTCAAATTATAGTCTATTAAGCTTATAAATCAATTAATTTATACAAATTTAATATTTTTTTAATTGACAAATTGTGCTGCTGGTAACATCTTTAAATTTAATTTAATATTGCTGACCAAAAGTTAGCAACGCAGTGCAATCTAGGTTGAGGCGATTTCTTCTTGGCATGCCCTTTTCCATGCATAAGAATAATATAATAATAATTATAAATTATATAGCGTAGCTTAGGTATATATCCCTAATTTTTAAAATATAAAAACAAAGACTAATTTTATCGTTACATATTTAGGACAAATGGTATATTGAAAATGTAGTTTCTTTTGGTAATATATTTTGTGGCCCTGAAAAGGGCCGTTTTGGTTCTTTCTCCGCATACGCAGCAAGAGATATTTACTTGGAGCTGGTGTACTTGGTGACAGCCTTGGTTCCCTCACTGACAGCGTGCTTGGCCAACTCTCCGGGCAGGAGCAGACGGACAGCAGTTTGGATTTCCCGACTGGTGATTGTTGAGCGCTTGTTGTAGTGAGCCAGACGAGAAGCCTCGGCAGCAATACGCTCGAAGATATCATTCACAAAGCTGTTCATGATGCTCATCGCCTTCGACGAAATGCCGGTGTCAGGGTGGACCTGTTTCAGGACCTTGTAAATGTAGATGGCATAGCTCTCCTTCCTCTTGCGCTTCTTCTTCTTGTCGGTCTTGGTGATGTTCTTCTGAGCCTTGCCAGCCTTCTTGGCTGCCTTTCCACTGGTTTTCGGCGGCATTATTTATATTCACTTATGATTTCACAAACACAATTCACTGATCATAACGGAGCGAAAACGCGTTCATGTTTATACTTTTTTTCGAGCAATCTTTTCAGGCCTAAGGAAACTACCCCTAACTGAACGCACAAGCAGACGAAAAAGTATAAATATGTGGCTTCCATATGTTTACTAGCATTCGTTCTCTGTGTGTTAAGTGAACTAAGTGAAATAAATCAAAATGTCTGGTCGTGGAAAAGGTGGCAAAGTGAAGGGAAAGGCAAAGTCCCGCTCCAATCGTGCCGGTCTTCAGTTTCCAGTAGGCCGTATTCACCGTCTGCTCCGCAAGGGCAACTATGCCGAGCGTGTTGGTGCCGGCGCTCCAGTTTACCTGGCTGCCGTGATGGAATATCTGGCCGCTGAAGTACTCGAGTTGGCTGGCAATGCTGCTCGTGACAACAAGAAGACTAGGATAATCCCGCGTCATCTGCAGCTGGCCATTCGCAACGACGAGGAGTTGAACAAGCTACTCTCCGGCGTCACCATTGCCCAAGGTGGAGTTTTGCCCAACATCCAGGCTGTTCTGTTGCCCAAGAAGACCGAGAAGGCTTAAACGTTCCAAAAGCAGAGCCAACTACATACTTGTACATAAAAACAAACCCAACCGTCCTTTTCAGGACGACCACGTTTTTACCAAAGAATTGTAAAGATTTTCAAATAGAGCGAGGACTAAGGCAAAAGTATTTTTAATAAAATGGGTATTTTGAAAGAACGTTCATATTTCGGTTAAAAAAAATTGTTTGCAGCGAACATAATAATTTACTGCGATATTACCGAGTTTCTTTTCACTTCAAAATTCTAAGATGCTTGGGACTAATACGAATTTATGACAGAACGTTATCTGACGGATTAGCAATCCGGTTAGCCTGCATCTGAAGCAGTACAGTCTGCACAAAATACATTTAGGAGCTAGCTTTATCTTGAACAAAGCGAGTGGTTGCTTTGCCGCACATTTCTCTACCTGAATGAGCAACTGCCGAACGGCCGCGAAGAATATTTACCTACTTTTGAATTCTCAGCTAACAAAAGCAGAAATTCTAAAATGTTTTGAAAATTTGTCTCCTCTCGAAAACTTAATGGTGGTCCTGAAAAGGACCGATTGTTGAATGAAGTACAAGCTGTACTGTTTTTTTAACCGCCGAAACCGTACAGGGTGCGGCCTTGTCTCTTCAGGGCGTACACAACATCCATGGCTGTGACAGTCTTCCTCTTGGCGTGTTCGGTGTAGGTGACGGCATCGCGGATTACGTTCTCCAGGAACACCTTCAGAACACCACGTGTTTCCTCGTAAATGAGTCCAGAAATGCGCTTCACACCGCCACGACGAGCCAAACGGCGGATAGCTGGCTTCGTGATACCCTGGATGTTATCACGCAGCACTTTGCGATGACGTTTGGCGCCACCTTTTCCCAAGCCTTTGCCTCCTTTTCCGCGACCAGTCATTATTCACTCTTTTCTATATAAACACACTGCACGAAAGTCACTGACGAACTAATTTCAATTTTTCGGCGTGCCCCTATTTATACCAAAAACCCAAGAAACCCGAGCGAGTGCGAACAATATGTTCGCCTCGCTCTTGGCTCGCCAAATGAAATGGCGTCTGCTCCTCTCTCTTTCCAACCCTCCACTTTTGCTATATAAGTAGGTAGCGATCGCGCCGAACGTTTATTGTGTTTTTAGACGTGAAGTGAACAGTAGTGAACATCCAAATCAATAATGGCTCGTACCAAGCAAACCGCTCGCAAATCGACTGGTGGCAAGGCGCCACGCAAACAACTGGCTACTAAGGCCGCTCGCAAGAGCGCCCCAGCCACCGGAGGCGTGAAGAAGCCACATCGCTATCGCCCCGGCACTGTGGCCCTGCGTGAGATCCGTCGCTACCAGAAGAGTACCGAACTGCTGATCCGCAAACTGCCTTTCCAGCGTCTAGTGCGTGAAATCGCTCAGGATTTTAAGACTGACTTGAGATTCCAGAGCTCGGCGGTGATGGCTCTTCAGGAAGCCAGCGAAGCCTATCTGGTCGGCCTCTTTGAAGATACCAACTTGTGTGCCATTCATGCCAAGCGTGTGACGATCATGCCCAAGGACATCCAGTTGGCCCGTCGCATTCGCGGCGAGCGGGCTTAAGTTGAGACTGCATCAACTGGCCACCATTGCGCTACCATATTTTATACAAATCGGTCCTTTTCAGGACCACAAAATACATTCAATGAGATATTATTTTTAATTCATAAATATGTATTATGTTCGTTTTTTATTTCAGTTAATGATTCGTTGTGAAGGTGTGGTAGTTTCAAATGGCGTTACGATTGTATGTGCAAAGCACGAACTATAATAAACATTCAAACGTCATTAAAAAATTAAAAACTTTTAAAATCACTCTAAAATTCTTTGTTTATTTAATGAGTCAATAAATATATTAAAACAGATCACATTTTTATTTCGGTCTGTACTTGGTGGGATTTTTACAAGGGGTACGGTTGTATGGGACAAACACGAACTATATTAAACATTCAAACGTCGTTAAAAAATTGAAAAACTGAAAAACACATTCGGAAAATAACTTTGCAACGTTTATAAATTATTTATTAAACAAAGACAACAATTTGTTGAACGAAACCAAGTTTATATTTTTATTTCGGCTTGAATATAGTGTGATTTTCATAGGGAGCAAAGTTGTGTGGAACAGGCACAAACCACTCAAATGTTATATAAAAATCAAAAAACTGTTTAAATCACTCTAAAAATAACTTAGCAACGTTTTTGAATCCTATATTTATTTAATAAAACATCAAATGTATTAAAAAAGATAGATTTTGTGTTTTTTATTTCGGTTGGTAATTGGTGGGATTATACAAGGGGCAAGGTTATATGGGACAAGCACGAACTTTATTGCACTTTTAAACGTCATCAAAAAAATCGAAAAAATGTTAAACACTTGCTGAATATAGCTTCGCAACGTTAACGAATACGTAATTTAATAAATAAAATAAAAAAGAATAACAATATAATAAAATTTCAATTTTTTTTGACATAATCTTCAATGTGACTTTAACTTGATTCATATATGAGGCACAAATAAGCCTCTTTTGGACAAACTACAAATAAAAACATCTGAAAAATGTAATCGACTAAAGCAAACAAATAATTTGCTTAAGAAAATCACAAATAACTATGAAATTTAAAAATATTTATATTTTTTTCATTCCGAAAACTATGGCTGCTTCTCCCTTGAAAGCCAACTTTTTATGTAGCCTAGGCTCAACTTAAAACAAGTAATAAAATAACTTTTTTAATGAAAAGTAAGTATATTTTCAGTGTTTCTTAAAGAAAAAAGTTTAAATTTCATTTTTAATTGACAATTGTACAAGTAATTAATAGATTTCTTATATTAAAATAGGTTTTAAAAAAAATTGCTCATGTTACAAATGTCAATGGTCAAGTTCATTCAGCTATTAAAGGTTGCCAAAACCAAATATTAAAATTTTAAAAATGCTAAGAACTTTATGGATTATTTAAGAATGTGAAAAAATAAATACTTTGTTTTTAATAAAGTTTTTAAACTCTAAATACAGGAAAATAAGTTTGCACTTCAAGTAAACATTTGCACAGCAAATGACTGGTGTCAGACCCATAGTTAAAGTGCTCTCCTCCTCGATTCTCATCCGAATGAAGGAGGTCGGCGGCAAGCGCGCGCGCCATTTTCTAAACAAAAAAGTGTTTTCGAGTGAACAAAGATGTCTGATTCTGCAGTTGCAACGTCCGCGTCCCCAGTGGCTGCCCCACCAGCGCCAGTTGAGAAAAAGGTGGCTGCCAAAAAGGCAACTGGATCTGCTGCCACAAAGGCAAAGAAGCCGACTGCACCACCATCGCACCCGCCAACTCAGCAAATGGTGGACGCTTCAATCAAGAACTTGAAGGAACGTGGCGGCTCTTCGCTTCTGGCAATTAAGAAATATATCACTGCCACATACAAATGCGATGCCCAAAAACTGGCTCCATTCATCAAGAAGTACTTGAAATCGGCCGTGGTCAATGGAAAGCTGATCCAAACAAAGGGAAAGGGTGCGTCTGGTTCATTTAAACTGTCAGCCTCGGCCAAGAAGGATCCCAAGCCAAAAGTTGCGTCTGTTGATAAAAAGGTCAAAAGCAAGAAGGTAGCCGTTAAGAAGACCGGTGTCACCGCCAAGAAAGCTGCCGGAGCTGCTGACAAGAAGCCCAAAGCTAAGAAGGCTGTGGCCACCAAAAAGACCGCCGAGAAAAAGAAAACCGAGAAGGCAAAAGCCAAGGATGCCAAGAAAACTGGAACCGTGAAGGCAAAACCAGCAGCAACAAAGGCCAAAACTACCGCAGCGAAACCGAAGGTGGCCAAAGCACCCAAGGCAAAACCAGCGGCGTCAGCTAAGCCCAAAAAGGTGATAAAGAAAGCAGCTGCTCCTGCTACCGCTAAGAAGCCGAAAGCAAAGACTACGGCTGCTAAGAAGTAAACTGGAAAAGTACAGTATCTGTACCAGTCCGCGCTCAAAATCGCAATTTTAGATTTTCAAATCTGAAATTTGTTTAAACAAGCCCTTTTCAGGGCTACAACATTCGTTAACAAGAGAAAACAACTTTCAATTCAAAAACATTCAAATTATAGTCTATTAAGCTTATAAATCAATTAAGATATACAAATTTAATATTTTTTTAATTGACAAATTGTGCTGCTGGTAACATCTTTAAATTTAATTTAATATTGCTGACCAAAAGTTAGCAACGCAGTGCAATCTAGGTTGAGGCGATTTCTTCTTGGCATGCCCTTTTCCATAATAATAATTATAAATTATATAGCGTAGCTTAGGTATATATCCCTAATTTCTAAAATATAAAAACAAAGACTAATTTTATCGTTACATATTTAGGACAAATGGTATATTGAAAATGTAGTTTCTTTTGGTAATATATTTTGTGGCCCTGAAAAGGGCCGTTTTGGTTCTTTCTCCGCATACGCAGCAAGAGATATTTACTTGGAGCTGGTGTACTTGGTGACAGCCTTGGTTCCCTCACTGACAGCGTGCTTGGCCAACTCTCCGGGCAGGAGCAGACGGACAGCAGTTTGGATTTCCCGACTGGTGATTGTTGAGCGCTTGTTGTAGTGAGCCAGACGAGAAGCCTCGGCAGCAATACGCTCGAAGATATCATTCACAAAGCTGTTCATGATGCTCATCGCCTTCGACGAAATGCCGGTGTCAGGGTGGACCTGTTTCAGGACCTTGTAAATGTAGATGGCATAGCTCTCCTTCCTCTTGCGCTTCTTCTTCTTGTCGGTCTTGGTGATGTTCTTCTGAGCCTTGCCAGCCTTCTTGGCTGCCTTTCCACTGGTTTTCGGCGGCATTATTTATATTCACTTATGATTTCACAAACACAATTCACTGATCATAACGGAGCGAAAACGCGTTCATGTTTATACTTTTTTTCGAGCAATCTTTTCAGGCCTAAGGAAACTACCCCTAACTGAACGCACAAGCAGACGAAAAAGTATAAATATGTGGCTTCCATATTTTTACTAGCATTCGTTCTCTGTGTGTTAAGTGAACTAAGTGAAATAAATCAAAATGTCTGGTCGTGGAAAAGGTGG